TCTGATCCCCCTGGTAGGTAAGCTTTGCCTTTCTAATTATGCATACCAAGAAATTCACATTTCTTAATAAAGCCAGTGGGATCAAAGAATTTTCATAGAAAGATACTTATAACTATTGAAAGAGGAAGGGAAAAGAAAATTCAATTATAGTGGTTAGGCTAAAATTAGAAGGTTTATTTCAGGCTTAGCAGATACTCTAAAGTTCTGCAGGTTTACCAGGAGAGAGGGCTCAGTGCTTCTCACTCAGTTACATAATGTCACATTGAACAAGCTGGACTGCCATATCAAATCTCTCTCTGCTTCCCCTTTTGCCCAATATGTCAGCTATAAACAGGACACCGAAAGGTGACATTTCAGAGTTTTCTCCACATGTATTTTAACATTATAGAAAACAACATTTTCAAATCCCTTTTTTTTCACACCCACTCTCTTCCATAAAAATGGACAATAAAAACTCTTAGGCATCTGCCATTTCTATGATTGGGTATTTCCTTTTAATTTCTCTGATTTTATATATATATAAAGGGGGGAGGAATAAGAGGGAGATATTAAACAGGCAATATATTTATTTATTTAATTATTATTTTTAATGTATTTTATTGATTTTTTACAGAGAGGAAGGGAGAGGGATAGAGAGTTAGAAACATCCATCAGCTGCCTCCTGCACATGCCCTACAACTTGCAACCAAGGTACATGCCCTTGACCGGAATCGAACCTGGGACCCTTCAGTCCTCAGGCAGAGGCACTATCCACTGAGCCAAACCAGTTTCAGCTAAACAGGCAAGATATTTAAGTGTATCTTATCTCTTTCATAGCCTCAAAACAAAAATAATTACCCACATATAAAAGTCTAAATCAGAGCCGTAGATAGGTCAGTTTTATCTAAGACCTGGTATTGGGCTGGCTGTCTCTCCTCCCATTTTCATGTGCTCCCTTTGGCAGAGTCTTCTGTAGCAGATGAAGTAAGAATGTGTAGAGCCGCCAATATGCTAATCAAGTCCTTGTGATTGTTATGGTTGTCACCTCTAATTTCAGATTCAGAAACGCAGCCTTATCAGCTCACCCACAAATGATCAGGTTCTTCAGGGGAAGATTAACTTGTTATTGACAAAAGTCACAAGCAGTTAATTTATAAATCATTCACCCACACGTTAAATGATTATGGCCCAAGATGAGTTTCTTCACTGGGCTTTGCTCTTTTTTGTTGTTGTTTATTTATTTATTTTTATTACAACTGATGGAATGCCTCTTTCTTATAAGACAGTTCTTCCCATTAGGTTGGTCTTCCTAATGTGACAGATTATAAATCAGAAATGATTTTGGTTGCCTTTTAGTTACAAAGAACAGAAACCCACTTAAGCCTGTCTGAGTTAAAAGGTGGTTTGTAGAAAAGTAATGGACACATTCAGGAAAAACGTGTAGGGAGTGAGGAAAGTGGGAGTTATTAAGCACTTCTTTCATGTTGCATGCTCAGACTAAATGTCCTCTTGTGTCTCTAGCTCTCTGTACACCCACCTCCTTGTAATCAGGTCTCCTTTGCTTGCACATGGCCCAACATGACTGCCATCCCATCACGATCTGCAACTCGGAATGCACAAGACCTCAAGGCAGTGGCAGTGCCCATCCCTGCTCAACCTGCTCAGTCTCTAGGCTTCTTAGCGTTTATCTTTCTGAAAGGAGCTTGATTAGCTTAACGTAGTCTGTGGATATTTCCCCAGGCCAAGTGTCCAAGTCTGGCCCGATCACAATTTCCATATCTGACCTAACTCTACTAGGGCTGGGGATTCCATTTCAATGGAGGGAGTGTGGGTAGGAGACAATGGGAGAGCATCTAATACAGTATATTAGTGAATATGGGGCTTTCTCCAGGCATTCGTTCTCCCAGTGGGTATAGGAACATGTTGAGTGAGGACTGTGGGAATGGGACCAAGCTGTCAGAGAAATAGAAGGGAGTATCCTTACTAATTGCCATTGTGCCATGAAAGTGAGGATAAGGTAGGTAGGAGGGCCCATTGAAAAGGGGCAGCACCCCACAGAATTCCATGCTTCCAGGGTACACAGCTAATGTGAAACTGTTGTTCAGAGAGTTATTTTAGCTGGATCGTTTTTCCAGGCCCCAGAAAGCAAGCTTTGTAGACGCCTTTCAATGTGTTTGAAGGACAAGCAGGACAATGAAACCCACAGAAAGGAAGGTATTGAGAATTTCTGGAAAGGATGCCAGTCACGGGGCATAATGGGTTCAATAGTGGCCCTAAAAAGAAATGTCCAAAGCCTCAACTCTGATATGTGTAAAAGTAATCTTGTTTGGAAATAGAATTCTTATAGATGTAAATAAGGTAAGAAACTTAAAATGTGATCATCTTGGATTAGGGTATGTCCTTAATATAATGACAACAGATTTCCTTTAAGAGATAGAAAAAGCGAAGACAAGGAAAGACACTGGGAAGAAGGCCTTATGAAGATGGAGGTAGAGATTGGAGTTACATGTCCACAACCGTAGAAAGCCAGGGGCCATAGTGGCTGGAAGAAGCAAGGAATGATTCTCCTATGGAGCCTTCAGGAGTATGGCTCTTAATTTTGGTCTTTAAGCCTCTAAAACTGTGAGAGAATAAATTTCTGTTGTTTTATGCCAAGGAGTTTGTGGCAATTTGCTATGGCAACCCTAAGAAATTGATGTATGACAGGCAGAGTTCTGGGAAATCCAGTTTGAGCCAAGGGAGATAAGAATCAGGCACCTCAGAGCATGCCTCCACTTTCTTCAGTAGCAGCTCCCAGACCATGAACATAAGGGTGTGAGGCACTGGGGAGAAAGTGGTGGTGGGGGCCTCAGTCTTTGTGAGAATACAGACTCTGAGCAAGAGTGGATGGAAAGGTCTTTGCTCTGTCTTGAGGTGGAAATAAATGATTGTGAAAAGAAAATCCAGGTTCACCCCTTGCTTTGCCACTAGATTCCTGCACTGTATACCCTTGCACAAGGTCCTTGGCCACAGTATAAAGATTTCCCAAGATGGCTTCTGCAGGTCCTGTGGTTGAAGCCTTTGGTCCATGGGCCTGTGTAGTTAGGGTAAGGCAGAGAATCGGGCCTAAGCTTGTAAGATATTTCCTGTGGATTGGTTCCCTCAGCTGGTTGTACCAGCTTAATGAATGTATTCCTTCTCCCTACCACCCTCCTGGGATAGATCCTTATACAGATCCTCCCCATATCTCAACTACCACCAGATTTGGTTCTTGGGAATTCATTTATAGTCAATGCCTGTGCCTATCTTGGGCTTTTGGGCACAATTTAACTGCTCCAGCCACAGAACCCAATAGGGACATTGCTAGATATTCCATAAGAGATATCCTCTTCCAGGCTCAGGGCAATTCAGGAATGCTTCAGGTGACTTTGGTGCCTTATAGTAGTGAGTTACAAATACTAATAACATAGGAGAAAATATCAATTGTTAGAATAATTGATTCAATTTTAGTTACAAAGCAATAATTCCCTAACATATGAGACACATAATGGCTTTTCAGTAATACTGAAGTCACACTAAGTGTTTTATGCTGGTCATAAGCAATGCAATGACTGGACCAACACTTACGGTTCTTACTATGATTTTAAGATGACGTTTGCAATAACCCTCTGGAAACTTTGAAAAAAAAATGAAGGTTTATTCCTTATTGGACCTGGAAATTACAAAACATACCTGGGACCACACAGCTAGATCATGAGTGGGGGCCTAGGGTTTCTAGGGCTTACTCTGTAATGGTGAATTTAAAACATAAGAGTGTAAATTTAAGGTGCGAAAAAAGAAACGACTATTCCAAATGATCAGTGATTGAATTTAACCAAGATCTCTAAAGCAAAAGCAGCTCAGTGTGGAGAGGTGGCTTGGCTCTTTAGCCAGCCCTAAGATTGGCAATGTGTTCATTGCAGACATCAATCTTTTAAGTGGATGCCTCGACAACAATATCTTATGTCAGGCACTGGCATAAAAAAGAAAACAATAGCAATAATTGTCAAAGGTTGCACTATACTATAATATGTAAAAGTTACAAACTGCCCTTCTGGTAAACAAACTGCTCAAGTGATAAAACATCCAGTCAATTAAAAAGCAAACATCCACTAGCTGGCACCTTCTGTTGTAACACAAAATAATGATCTAAATCCTAGGTGGTAGGAGTGCCTTATTGACCATGAGGGTTAAATGAAGACCTGGGCAGAGTCCCTGGCCCAATGTCCATAGATAATGGTTGACCAATTTACGACAAAACCAGGGTTCTTATTCCCTAAACAGAATTGAACTCTTCCAAGGTATTAACTATAGAGAGTGGACAAAGCACAATTCAAATACTATAAGTACAGAGTACCCTTAGTTCAGAGAATGCTCGCTCTCTGAGTCCAGAAAAATGGTATTAAATTGTGGCTATAATACAATCCAGGTCCTTCATTGAATTGATGATATTGTAGTTATTCATTGAACATTTCATAAATCACCTCCTTGTTTTCAAAGACTTTTTGGAGAAGGATTTGGATAATCATCATCTCTAAAGAGCTATCTAATAAATTTTAAATGAGGTTTTTATTCATTCTGTAAGAATTTCTGTGATGAGCAAAAAAATAACTTAAAAAATAAAAAAATCAAGAATTTCAGTTTAATGTTTTTGAGAATAAACTATTCTGTGCAACAGTGTTGTTGGAAGAAGCACTAGACCTAGATGTTGAGAGTTCTTAGGACCAAGGAAAGTCTGTTGAGCCTTCTGCTGAATTAATTTTCTAAGACCTGAATTCCAGATCACACTTGTCATCTCTGCCCCATCCTCTAAGATCTCTTAATTGTAAACACATTATCCTCTCAAAGACTTGACTGTCTTCATGGTATAGTTGGCAGTCTTTCAGCCAACTCCTAGATCATCAGGAGTTTCAGAATGGGTTATTTTAACAGGATTAAACACCATAATTCCATGACATCTCTAGGACCTATGCAGGACAGATGATACCAATCTTATTTTATAGATAAGGTCATCAAGGCACAGAGAGTTGTATCAATGTACCAAGATCATTTGGAAGGTACAAGACTGGCCTCCACCCACATCTTCTGCCTCCAGCCCAGCCCTCTTTTCCCATACTTTGTTACAACACTTGTAGCCTTATCATTTTCCAGATGTCTGGTGGGACCTTGGATAAGGCCCAGTCAGGATAGAAATAGAATGTCCCAACAGCCTCATGTGATGGAAGAACTCAGAGTCCAAATAACTTTGATTTGGAAGAATAATATTTTGTGAACATTAGCTGTAGACTGATATGTAGACTCTGTATAGATAAAAAAGAATCATGTGAAAATATCTTATTGTCAATGAAAATGCATCTCAATGGCATAACACAGTCAATCAATTGCCTCAACTCTGTCCAAATTCATCATAATAGTCAATAACCCATTTACTTTTAAGGTAGTGCTTTATTATTGTATTTTTTAAATAAAGAAATAAATTCTCATTAGAAGAAGAGAAAAATTAAATTTATTTATTTATTTAATTTGGTTTTGTATCTTCCCCTGACCCTGAGGTAATTAACATTTTGGTGAGTATCTTCCAAAATACTCCCTCACTCCCACCCCCTACACAAAATACATAGATAGGGCTTTCCTTCTTTGCTACCTTTCTTGAAAAATAAATTATACTATAAACATAGTAAAAACAAAAAAACAAAAACCCAAAACACCAAACCCATAACTTGCTTTTTTTCTTGTAAAAAAATTTGCATCTCATTGTTTTACTTTCCAAAGTTAGAGGTATATTAAGCATTTTTTTGTCATGCTTTTAATCACTGTATTGCTATTTTTTGCTCATTCTAATATTTTACTTATTGATATGTTATAGCTTTTAATATATTAAGGATAGTAACCATATGGGTGGCAAATAATTTCTCCCAGTCTAACATACAATACATTTTGTTTATAGAATCCTTGCTACGCAGTTTTTTATTTTGATGTACATCAGTCAACTTCTTCTTTTAAAAAAAAATATATTTTATTAATTTTTTGCAGTGAGGAAGGGAGAGGGACAGAGAGCCAGAAACACCAATGAGAGAGAAACATTGATCAGCTGCCTCCTGCATAACCCCCACTAGGGATGTGCCTGCAACCAAGGTATATATGCCCTTGACCAGAATCGAACTTGTGACCTCTCAGTCTGCAGGCTGACGCTCTATCCACTGAGCCAAACCAATTTCAGCTCAACTTTTCTTTTGAGATGTCTAGTTTTGGTGTTACCAGAAGAAGATGTTTTTTGCCCTCCTTTAAATTATGCAGAGAATCTCCTATACTTATATTTTTTCTTATATCCTTATATTTTTATAATAAGAATTATAATATAATATAAGAATAATATAAGAATTATATATTCTTATATTTTTATAATAAGAATATTAGATTTTTAATCTGTATGTTTATTTTTGTTTCCATCTGGTGTGAAGAGGGGAGTCTACTCTTAGTTCTTCCAGATGAATAGTCAGTTGGGCCAACTGAATTAACCAAAGCATCCATCCTTTCCCAGTGAATTGGAATGGTGGCTTTATCACTTCTTAAGTCCCCATTTATTATACAATATATTTTTTGGACTCTTCATGTCCCCTTATTAATTTATTGGCTCATTTGGTAGTTGCCTTTTCTTAAAAAGTTCCCAGAGTTAGAGCTTTTATATCCTTCCAAGTCCTATTTCATGGATGATCTTTTTAGGTAACACAGTCTCATTTCTGTCTGGAACCTGAAGGACTCAATGTATGCTTTTTTTTTTTTTTTTTTTTTTTTTTTTTTTTTTTGGAACTAAGAGTGGAGTTTCAATGTTTTCAACAAAGCCCTCTAGTTCTCTGTGACTTCCAATAAATATTGACAGTCCATCTCAATGTTTTAAAAAAGGAAAAAGGAGAGATTCTCTTAGAAAAATGAGCATCAAGGTACCATATATTCTCTCAAAAAAAACTTGTATGGATGATAACCTTTGGACTTCAGTGTCTAAGGTAAAAATAAAGTAATAATTGTAATGACAATAATAATATACAAAAAACGAGGAACATTGCTTTAAATTGTTTTAAGTGAGAAACAATCCCACCAGTTTTCTCTCTCTCTTAAGGGAAAATTTCCCCTTCACTCCCACCAGGTATCCTCAGTTTCTATGTAAAAATATATTTTTTAATATGCAGAGATTATGTCCTCTGGAGCTGAAGGTCCTGGTGTAGAAAGCACATGTCTCAACCTTGCTAATTAGAATAGAACAAAAAGGAGCCTGACTTTCACAGACATAAATTCTTTCAGGATAGCTTCAAAAAGCGACAGCTTGTAAGACAGCAGTATGGCCCCTAGCCTTAAAGCTGGCATCCAATCCAGCCTGTGATTGTTCTCCACCAGCCTCGCCTGGAGACTCTGGGATTTCTGAATTACCTAACGGTACATTTTTACCACTGCAAGGGGCTGGTGTGCCAATCACTTCTGTCAAAAGGGTTGAATTGGACTTTCTGGTTACTCAACCCTCTTCTAGTGGCATGAAAATGTGCATGGAGACTCAGATCTAAGGCCCCACCTCTGACTCCTCTGAATCATGAGGACTTTGTGAAATTTATTGCCCACAAGGGACAAAAGAGCAAAGCAGATGGTGAAATTTCATGTTTTTGTCTGGAGAGTTAAAAATACCATCAATCATGTACTTAGAATCTGGCAGGAAACTAAATTTTTGTTATTCCATAAGTTAGAGCAGACAGATTTGGAAGCAAAAGAGCATGGATGCCTACATCGAGGTAGACATTGTTCATAATAATTGGTAGCCTAGTGCATTGTTAGAGCCTCAAACATTCATCTTCAGCTTCCCTTATAGCTTGTGTATGTTCAATGTGACCTAAGTTCTACCAGTCAGACACATTAAATGCGAGACCTCAATTTAAAAGTGAGCAACTGGAAAAGGAAGTGCCAAGTGGATTCCACTATGGTGACAGCAGAGGCCTCCAGCTTTTGGTGTGACCACGGTTACCAGCCAGAGTGTCTGTCCTTGGAGTGACATTGATAGTTGGCAGTGATCCCTGGTTACTCACCAGGCCAGCTCTGCCGCAGGCTTTTGGACATTGTTTCCAAAAGATTAGCTTGGATGTGGCTTTCCACTACTCCCAAGGATTCTTTAAGATCCCTAATCTTGTTTTCATAAACTCCTTTTCTGTTTTATAAAGCAGAGATAGCTCCTGTTGCTTGCAGTTCAGAAATCTAAATAAGATAGCACCTATAGCTTTTACTCATATATACTGGAAGTGAAAAATATTTTAGCTTATCCTTTCTGGTGAAAGCTATCAATAAATTTAACCTGACAGAAGATGTCAGAATTACCTCTGGGGCAGGCAGCTCTCTGAACTCCTGGAGATTTTCCCTAGACCCTTGAAGAAACATACAATGGAGTGAATGAGCCCTAAGAACCTTTTCACTAAGAAGGAGCAATCTTTCTTAAAATACCTCATGTGCCACAAATCTGAAAAATGTATGGGATGCAGAGAAAATCCTATTATCTTTCTTTAAATCATCATGAACTACCCAAAGGGTTGTGCATTGATTATTTTTGGTTTCTCCTATATTAGATTGAACAGTTTGACTCCATGTGTGAAGAAGAAGGTGGATAGAACAGATGCTTGTATCTGATGAGATGCTTGGGAAGACTTTGGTGGGCTGGATACTTTCCTCAGTAAAAATTACAAAATAGAACACACATATAGGAAAGCATATAAAATATGTATGACTTTCAGAGAATAATAATAAAGTGAACATACATATTACGATTACTCAAAATCAGAATAAAGGCCATTGCCCATAGTCTACCAGCTTCATGGATGTCTTTGAATGCCCCTACCTTTAAGGATTACCATTACCCTACCCTTTATGGTAGTTATTCTTTCAGTTTTCTTAATAGTTTATCACTAATGTAGGTACCACTGAAAATACTATTGAGTTTTTCCTGTTTTTAAATGTTGTACAATTTTAGCTCATATATTCCTTTGTGTCTTTTCTTTGATGCAACACTATGGTGGTAAAATTTGTTCATATTGTTGGATATGGCTGTAGTTCATTAATTATCATTGCTGAGTAGTGTTCTATTGTGTGATATAGTACTATGTACTTATTAATTCTAGTGTTGATGACCATATGGAAAGTTTCCAATATGTGGCTATCGCAAATAATGCTGCTGTGGATATTTAATTGAATCTCCTGCTATACACATGGAAGTGTTTTGTGTATATATGCCAAACTGTGGGTCTGTATGCCATTATAACTGTATTGTATATTGTTACAAGTGTATTATATATTGTTATAATTATGCCATATATGATTAAAACTATGCTGTATAGTATTGTCACAAGCCTACATAAAAATGGGCATACTTTTGAATCACTAATTTCACTTAGAAATTTATCATAAACAAAAAGACATTATGTAAGGGTATATGGACATCAAAATGTTGTTCATAAGAGTGAAAAACCCCTCAGAATATCAGGTAATTTTACTAGCGAGGGATTTCTTAAATTTTAATCCACTCACATAATGAAATTCTATTTTGCCATTAAAACTGATTTGGGGCTGTGTGTGTGGATACCATGAAATAAAAACAAACTAATGGCCTCTCAGAAATAAGTAGACAAATATGAGAAAGGTCTGATATGAAAAAAAGAGTTCAATTTACCTCTATTAGCTATAAGATATGATGACAAGTGACCTTGTAGCTTTTTGCAAAAATATGTATTGTTGATATATATTTGGAAGAAAACCACCTGATGCTCAGGGTTATCTCTGAGGAAGAACAGCATAGAGACCAAGGAGGTGGGTCTTCATACCCAACTGGAGCTGAGAAATCCATGGAATGGGTGGGTGGCACGGAGTGTAAAGTCTGGGTGGCATCCTAAGTGGAGACCATGGTGGGAAATGAAGAAAGGACTTACAGAGCCAGCTATGTCTGTGAATTCAGCATCCATGTGCAAGAATATCTCAGAGGTTACAGGCCTGTTGGGCCTCCCAGCAATTCAGATACTTATCGGTGTAAATAAACAGAAGATTTGGATCCTTTGTTGCCTCCACCCACTAGTATCCCTGCCAAGTTTGTTCTTAGGTTGGATGAAAAACGCAATATTTGTTCGATGGATTATAGGGATCTTGTCTGTTTGCCACTGGAACTGAAATATTCCTCTAATCCCCTATCTCTGCAGAGAAGGGGAGACCTTGGAAAATAGGGTAGGGCTCTCAACCTTGGTACTGTTGACATTTGGTTGGGTTATTCTTTTGTGTTACAGGATAGGGAGCCTTGCTCTGTAGGGTGTTTAGCAACATCCCTGGCCTCTCTCTGCTACATGCCCCTCCTTGTGACAATCAAAATTGTTTCCAAATATTGACAAATGTCCCCTGGGGCACAATTACCACTGGAACAGGGATGGATAATATTTTTTAAAGTGAGATGAAATCTTTAAGAAAGTATATTACAAAGCAGAGTGGTCTTACAAAGCAGTGTGATCCTATTTTTATTTGAGAATAAAATGTATTCTATGTATAGCTACACCTTAAGTGTTTGATTATGAATGTTGTATATTTTGTTCTATATGTGTTTTGGTATTTTATAAATTTTTGACAGTGGACATTGAATGATTACATTGGAAGAAAAAACATGGATATTTTAAATATTCATATTTGTACATATGCATAGAAAAAACTTGATATACAACAAAATGGCAAATTTACTGCTTAGTATTATTTTTTTCTCCTGTTTGTTTATAATTTCTGAACTTTTTACAGAGAACACATTAATTTTGTAGTGATAAACAAGGTGAACAGAAACTATTTCAAACATAAATGCCAGATTTCAACTAATCATTAGATGCCTGCAACTAATTAGGGTCATTGAAATGCATGCTTCTAACTTCAGTTGCTCAAGCCTTTTGAACTCTCAGACAATGGTTTAATAACCTCTCCTAGTGGAAAACAGATAGTAAGTCTTGCAGATGTTCTCTGCTCAGCTCTTCATACCTCCATCCCAGCCAAAGAAACACTTCTTATTTTGATGTGAAAATAGGTATCATCCAGTATCAGCGTCTTCAGTTGTTGTCCCCTCAAAATTTATCTACATGTTAACTTTTCTGTCTTTTTTAGTCTGTTTGCTGTAAAGAATGATCTATGTATTTTTGAATTCACAAGTTTTTCCTCTTGCTTTTCCTACTAAAATTAAGGACAGAATCCAGGAAGGAAATAAGGAGGAAAGCTTTTCTTTCTTTGGACAGTAGAATATAAGTAAGATTCCAGATCCAAGATGGGCTGGGAGGGTTTTCTCTACAGGCATACTTTTTTCTTTTCCCAGGTTTTATTAATAGAAAATCTGAGGATGGGTAGAGGGAATGTGAAGTTTGACAAAACTTTTGACCTCTGCTGTCCCTGTCCTGGTTCTAGTAACTGTAACTACCCACCCACACACCCATCCCATGTGATTCTTGTCAGGCTTCCTTCCACAGTCCTCCAGCCCTCTCACCACAGTAGTGATCATGTGATTCCAGCTAGGCCAATCACATTTCTTCTGCCTGGAATTAGAATTACACCATATGAGTGGAGACACACAAGGACAGCAGGTAGTCAAGGATGGACTTTCTAACTGATGCAGGAGATACCATGGTTCCAGAGGCGTAATCAGCTGCGTATACCTGATTGTTTACTCCTTCCCAACTCAGTCCAGCCCCAAGGGTAACTCAAGTTCTCATTCACCATATCTAGGCAATGAAAAAACCCCTCACATCAAGCCCAGGCTTATTCCCATAGCAGCACAAAGTAGTAGACTGTAGTTATTGCCATCTTTGCTTGGAAATGTCTCATTCCTACCAGGTGAAAACATAGTTGGCTGTGCCTTCACATAAGCTTTAACCAGAAGCAAAGAAGTAGTAATTAATATATTGAAGGCCAAAAATGTGTCAGTGGTAAAAATGTGAGACATGAGCAGACCCAGTAGGATTTTCATTGAGTGAAAAAGTCGTGTCCTCCCCCCCCCCCCCCCCCCCCCCCCCGCCGAAACACACTTTGGTCTCTATTACAATAAATTAAAGGTGCAAAGCTTGAAACACCATGGACCAAGTTACAGGCACTGCCTTGTATAATAAACCAGGAATAATTGGGAATGGAGTGGATGACACCATAATGGCATTTTTTCTTTTCTATCTAGAAGATATCTCCAAACAAGAATATTTTTTACAAATTGTCACTATAATTTCATTAATGTAGGAATAATTTTGAAGTAGAGTCGGTTAACTAGATTTTGGAAAATCTATCAAATCTTACCAAATTACTTTGATTTACTTCTAAAAAACAGGACTTCTATATTCTTAAAACTTAGGCTTAAAGTAACCTTAAATTTTATTGCTTTGAATCATTGTAAGGTTTGATGATTTCCTGATGTTTATATTGTTTCATCATATATACCTGCCTTCGGCTTATATTATACTATAAACCATAAAAGTAAAGATTAATCTCACCATTTTATATATAATAGGCTAAAAACCATAGAGTTGAAATGACTTGCCAATGTCAACTAGCCAAACGACCTGCAAAATTAGAATGAAAACTCACCTTTTGAATTAATTGTTATTTCCACTATGATAGTCATCAGTTTACATCAGATGACTCATTAAATTAGCATAATTGAAGCAATACTTCACTAAAAACATTTAGCCCTTGGTACAGTGCTATGAGGAAATGCAGTTGGTGAAGAAATGATCCACTCTCAGGATCTCCTCCAGCTATTCACAAAAGTATGTAATGATTTCACTGCTGCTCTAAAAAGGGTTTTGAGCACAATCTGAAGATTATGAATAATTGGAAATTGAATACAGCAATTTTTTTATATGGTCAGAGTGTATGGGAGGCCTGATGCATGAAATTTGTGTAAGAGTAGGCCTTCCTTCTCTCAGCTTCCGGCACCGGCTACCCTCTGACACCAGAAACCTGGACTTCCCTTGCAGCCCCGGCTTCATCTGGAAGGTCATCTGGAAGAACATCCAGTCTAATTAGCATATTATGCATATATATGTAATTCCCTTAAGGAAACTACTAAAAGTAGAAATAAATAGCAGCCATATGCCCAGACAAAACCTATGAATGAATACTTGACCATATGGCCATCCTATCCATGGGAACTGGAGATATTACTACTGAGGTCAATGTTTGGGCCTCTGCCTAGCTTGCCCATTCTATCAATGTGACTCAATGGTTGAGCATTGACTGTGAACCTGGTGGTCACTGTTCAATTCCCAGTCAAAACGTATGCCTGAATTGTGGGCTCAATCCCCAGTGGGGGGTGTGCAGGAGGCAGCTGATCTAAGATACTATCTCATCATTAATGTTTCTATCTGTCTTTCTCTTTCCCTTCCTTTCTGAAATAAAAAAAATAAAAATAAAAAAGAAATAGAAACTTTAAGCGGGCCACCCAGGAAGCACCATCTCCAAGTGCCATCTCTACCTCTGAGAGCTGCAGTCCCCCTACCCACCTCTCCTGGCAATAACTCACCCGGCAGTGAAACCAGCCTGCTGCTGGGCATTCTGCTGGCAGGCCATGGTATTGGTATCTGTTTCTTTATTTCTCCCTGGAAATTACTTTTTAATGTTTCACTGGGATCAGAAACTGTGAGCGAGGTGACCAGTCACAAAACCATCTTTAGAGTCAGTGTTTGAAATTCTGATTCCACCATGTCTAAAGTCTACTAAACCAAGGGACAAATGAACCCAATTAGCCAATTGGACTTTAAAAAACCAACAACGACAATAACAACAACAACAAAACAAAACACAACAACAAAAAACATAAGGGAACTTTTAAATGGAAACCTTAAGATTATATTACTCAGCAGTCAAACATAATAGTAGGGTGACCAGCTATCCTGATTTTTAACTAAAATGGGGAAAATTGGGACAAACCAGATGGTTGGTCACCCTGATATCTGTATGTGATAATAGAAGAGGGGAAAGTAGTCAGAAGAAAGTCATTTCATCATTATGAAACCTAAACATGATTTTCTTATATTTAGGTTTATATATTGATCCTAAAAGAATCAGTGTTAAAGTGCTCTTTTATTTCAATCTAGAACCTTAAAAAACTCCCTTAAAAATTTAAGTCCCTTAGAAAAATTGATATAAATTTGGTATAAATTCAGAATCAAATAAAATTTCTTCAACAACAGGGTGCCATTTGACCTACTAGTGCACATAGGGTGACCCACCGTCCCAGGTTGCCTGTGACAGAGGGGTTCTCCGATGAGGGACTCTCAGCACTAAAACCAGGAAGTCCTAGGAGGTGGGGCTGTTTTATCACCCTACCCATGAACTATTTCT